AAAAAAAAAAAAAAGTCCTTACTCCTCAGACCAATTTGCTAATGGAAATGTATATATGTTATAATTCTTTCACTAAATGTACTTTACATATGACACATACAGATAAAAGAATAAGGAAATTTGCCATGTCATTCAAACTTCAGACTACATTTTGCTTTTATGGTAGCATAAAGATAAAACCCACAGGTTTGAAGTCAGAGCCCACTGAAATCTGAATCCTGGCTCTCTCCTTCATGTGACTGGCTGACCAACAGCAGGCAAGTTTCTTGACTTCTACAATTTAGTTTCTATACAAGAGAAGTAACCCCTACTTCAAAGGACAATCATGAGAACTGAATGAGACATACACATAAAGTGCTAAGGAAAGTGTGGGGTTCAATGTCAATAAATACAGACTGCAAACGTCATTATCCCTGTCATGAAGAATGCAATAGAAGACTCATCAGATATTAATCCAGGAAAGTTTTTCCTTTTACAAGATATTTATTATAAATGTTGAACTCGAATTCACAAATCTCCAATTAGAAAAAAGATGAGTACAAACGTAACACTCACCATGGATCAAATGCTGGTTGTCTCTTAGAATGATTGGTTCCAGAACTGCTTTCAGATGGTAGAGAAGAAACTCTAGTTGATACATTATTTTCATGGAAAGAATTGTCTGGTCTTGGAGATGGCACTGAATGAAGAAAATGTAAGTTACTGGTGTTCTGTTTTGGTCAAAGCAGTTATCTGATTGCGTTTTCTTTCTTTTCTTTTTGTGGTACTAGAGATTGAATCCAGAACATTGTACCACTGAGCTACATGCCCATAAACCGTTTTTTAAAATAACTTTTTTTTTTGAGAAAGAGTCTCACTAAATTGCCCAGAATAGCTTCAAACTTGTGATCCTCCTGCCTTAGTCTAGTCTCTTGAGTAGCTAGGATTACAAGATGCAGCAGTATGCCTGGCTATAGTTCATTTTGTTGCACACAGATCAAATAGACAGGTAAGTGCAAATCCTCATCTACCTCTCACATAACTTCTGTGTTTTCTGAGGGTGGCGGCACTCTAGGGAACATTCTCTTCCCCTCTGCTCATAACATTAACCTGCAAGGGTCAGTTAACCACCCTGATCTGTTAGCTGATAAAATGAAGTGTTGCAGGGTATTTTAAAGTATGACAGCCCTCCTTCCACTGCTTTGACATTTTTTGAAGTTAAGGCTTTCTTATCACAGACCCAACTAGGTAAAATTTATTCTTAGTCTGAAGCAGGGCTTAACAATATGCACGCTGAAACATACAATCTAGTTTAAACTGACTACAGTTTAAACCTTGATGCTCAGAAAGCAGTGTCATCATGCTTTATAAACTAAATTACAAAGAAATTTGCTAATTTTCAAAGAAAAAGAAAATTAGTTTTCTTTACATTCTCATTTCAAAAATGAACACAAAATAAACTATAATGTATGGGAATAAAATGCTTTTCTGCTTGGGGGGGTGGTAACCAAATATTTCCATTAATTTCTAAACTTGTTTACAAATTATAATACACCATAAATTTCATCACAAAAGTAGTATCAAGCTGGGCATGGTGGAGCATACTCGTAAACCCAACACTGTGGGAGGCTGAGGCAGGAGGATCACAGGTTCCCACTCAGCCTGGGCAACTTAAGAGACTTACCAAGACCCTGTCTCAAAATAAAAAATAAAAAGGCTGGGGGTATGACTCAGTGTGAAAGCCCTGGTATTGAAAGAAAAAAAAAAAGACTGCATATCAAGGTAAGTGACACCATTTAAGTTGACTCTTGATCAGCGGGAATGAAAACAGGAAGTATTCTGGAAACATCTGTCATTTCAATGATACTACTGTCATCTTCCTCTAGGACTTAGTAGTATCATTGAAATGACAGATGTCGCCAGGTGTTTCATTTAATTAAAACTTTCTTTCTATTTCTGAACTTTTTAAAATTAAAATTTTCTATCTGAAACCCTAAAGTAGATTATGAGGTAAACAAACAAGGTTTTTCTCTGTTATTAACAGATTTGCAACCAAAATAAAATGATGTTACCAGGAGTCAAAGACCAATTCAGTAATTTAAACTCCATTAACATTTTATATTAAAGTATTTTCTCTAGACAATTACAGAAAAAAAGTGCAAAGTACATTTTGGAATGCTCTTTTTTTTTCTTGTCCTGGGGATCAAACTCAGGTCCTTGCGCTTGTGAGGCAGGAGGCAAAACCACTGAGCCAAATCCCTGGCATATCAATTGGACCTTTATTCTTCTTCTTCTTTTTTTTTTTTTCTGTACTGGGGATTGAACTTGGGACCTTGCACTTGTGAGGCAGGCGGCAGAACCAATGAGCTAAAACCCCAGCCCAGCATAGTACATTTTGAAAGTAAAACTTATACTGATAGAAGAAAGGCTTTTGCTCATTGTACACTATAACATTTTGCTTTAATTAATTTTAATTTGAATTAAAAGTTTAATGTTACAAGATTATAAAGTCATCATACTGTTGGGAGAGCATTAAAAGGTGTTTTTAGCATCTTACACTTTTTCCAAAGGTAAGACTGAGAGAGAACAGAGAAGCCTCATCATTCAATATCCATTTACTCCAACGTAACACTTTTATGCATTGGTTTAGCCCACATTCCTAATTAAAATAACCAAAACAGTTCTGCATGTCCCCCAACCCCACAATTCCTGCTTCTGTCCAGCTGTCCTACTAAAACAACAGAAACAGAAATCAGGTCATGGCTATGGTGACTCCGGAAGGCGTTGGGAGGCTGAGCCTCCTACCCTGTGAGTTTGCTATCTACTTCTGCACCAGGTACTGGGATTCCCAATAATTTTATAGTCTGTGATTACATAGTTACCACCTATGCCAGGTAATCTTGTCAACGTGACTGAACTGAGAGGCTCCTGGAGAGAGAGGTGACTGCTCACGGAGGCCCTATCTGCATCAGAGGATCAATCCACTGATGTCACAGCCAAATGTACCTTTGGGAAGTGGGACCCAGCTGGAGGAGGCAGGTCACTGGGGTGTGCCTTTGGAGGATATTCCTCTTGCTGGCACTCTTCGTCTGTGTTCTGCCTCTGGTCACCATGAAATGAGCAGCTCTGCTCACTGTGTTCTTCCATCATGTTCCTGACTTGGAGTAGCTGACCATGGACCTTTGAAACCATGAGCCAAAAATAAACCTCTCTTCCTTTAAGTTGCAGGTGATGGGCATTTTTTTTTCCAGGAATCAGAAAGCAGACAAATTCACCACCCAAAGGAGTTGCCTTTCTCTATCAATGTCTCTTAAATTCATATTGCCCCCAAAGCATCTGTTTCAGTCACCTGTTAAATCTCAAAATACATAAGGGTGTGCGAACACACTTGAATTTTCTGTAATTCAGTCAATAAATATTTACAAAATTGAGCCAGGCAGTATGCTAGTCAAAAGAAGAAAAGATAGAGAGAACTCAGAATCATTGTGTTTTTTTGTTTGTTTGTTTTTTTGTTTTTGTAGTGCTGGGAATTGAACCCAAGCTCTCACACATGATAGGCAGTTGCTCTATCACTGAGGAACACAACCCAAACCCACGAACTCAGAGTCTTTGAGGGACTCACAACCTTGTGAGAGAAACACAAAGAACCAGTGGGATGTGGCCTGTACTGTATTAGGGGCATAAGCAAGATACGTGAGTGAAACAGGGAAGGAAATACTTTGTCAGGGGTGGGCAAGGAAGATATCACACTGGAGAGGACGGTAAAGAAAAGGACAGAAACAAGCTGTTCCAACTGGGGAGATGAGTGTATTTCAGGCCATAAGATTGCATGGCCTATATAAGTCCCACAGGTTGAGCACTAGAGAGATCTGGCAGGGAAGCAAGGGGCAGGGGCAGCTGGAGAGGATGACAAGAGTCTGAAATGCCACCTTAGGGAATTCGGATGCCTGATGCCCATGAGAAGCTGCCAAAGCTCCCAACAGGTAAGAGCAGCTAAGGTCCTGGGAAAGGCAGCAGAGGGCAAACGGTTGTGCCCTGCTGTTTTTCATGCTCTGTAGCACTATTATGTTTGATTGCTGTATAGAAGTATAACATTGACTGGCAATCTTTCCTCTTGAGAATGTGAGCTTTATATGTCTAGCTGTCTTGTCCATCGACATGCTCTAAACTAGAACAGTCTGGGCACACAGGTGACACTGGTAAATATTTTTTGACTTAACTGAATGAATGAGTAGTATGGTAAGAATGCAGCTTCAGAAGGGCCACTGCAGAGACAGCTTTGATGTGTACCTTGAAGACAAGGAGACCAGTAACAAGGCTACTCAAGAAACCCAAGGCAGAAGCCAAGAGGACCTTAACGAAAACAGTGGAACCAGTGGTAGAGAACACTGCTGGAGGGTATAGTGCAAGCAGGACCACTGCAGGTTTAGGTTTGAAGACATTTGGGTTGGTGAAAATGTAATAGAGGGCACAGGCTGGAGATTTCCAAAGCAGAAAGAAGACACTGGTCAACGCCGGTGGGTGGCTTACCTCTGTAAAAGCTGCCAACTCTCCTTGGGACAGGATCATTGTAGAGGTGTCTATTTTCTTTGGGGCCTGTGCCATCATCAGAGTGTGGGTCATGATATACTCCACCCTGAGGCAGGAAACAAATTGTATAGGCATTTACACCATAGGTTGATGACAGTGTCACCTACAAAGTCAGACCAATGCACTACACAGTCATTTATAATTAACTTACTGGGCTTTTTAAGAGAAAACTGAGGACTACGCCATGAGGAAAACTACTTACTTTTCCAGTTTAACTTATCTGTGGGAAACTGGGTGTGAATAATGATTAAAAGGCTTTACTATGTTGAATGGACACTCCTTACAGACCATTTTATAGTAAAATGTAGCAACTCTGAAGAGTTCAGACCTCAGACTTCTGACGGGTATGAAACGAAGAGGTGCCTTCTCTGGAGGACTCTTTAACAGAAGGTCTTGCCACGGTCATCTCTGGAGGGAGTTGTTCTCCAGGCTGGAAGTCAAATTTAAAAAAATTTATAAGAGCATCCTATTCCTGCAGATGAAAATCATTACGGTCTTTATTTAGTACAACTAATACCTTAGTCAGCTGAAATAAAAAATGTTAGTTGGCTAAAACATAAATTGTCCCATAAAGGAGTGAATCATCTGATGAATGTAAAATAAGTTGGGCAAATTTCAGCAAATGGAAAGCGAAGTTCTCATTAAAGGCAAGGGACAAATTAGTGTGAAAATAGTTCAATTAATTATTAAAAACAAAAAATTATTTTTCTATTACCGTCATTGTTCTGAGCAATACTCTACTTAGAAATTCTATGTCAATCCAAAATTCCTCTAGCAGATTTTAGGCTGAATTTTCCAAAAAGAACTGAGCAGAACCATGACTGTCTTCCAGGAAGGGCTTAGGTGGCAGATTCAGATGAAAACAAATGTTACTTGAATACATCAAGGAATAGAGTAAGTCTTCTTGATAATTATTGTCTTAAAATTCCCTTTCTTCTGTAGTCTATGTGCTTAAAATTCTCTTCTTGTTTCTGGGATGACACCACTTTGGTCTCCTGTCACCAAGGTGCTCATCTCTGGAGATGCTGCCACTACCTAGCTCTCTCAGGAAACTGGGTCACAATCTCAGCACAGTGCTGGGTCTACAACAGTGCCCAAGAGGGAAAAAATGTAGCATTTTCTACCCTTGGCAAAAAGATATCAAGGAATACAGTGACTAAGTAATCAAGAGGAATCAGCTGCATTGTATATCTGTATATTACACACAAACATTATCTTAAGCCTATATAACTTAAAAATGCTTTATTTAAAATATGATTCATTTTTCCCCTCAATCCCCAGTATATTTGGAAAGTTCCAGGAAGGGATTCATCCAACGAAGCCTTTCTTCTTTCTACTTTGTGACAAGATCTCATTTGACTTTTGTCACCTGTACTGTTGACAAAAGCCTCTACAAACATATTTTAGAAAACTATTTGTGCTTAACCTAGACTCAGTGAGAGTCCTTGTTCTTTTAAAGGAGGCCACAATACTTTGCATAAGTGTTGTTCCCATGACTCATTCCCATGATTCACAGTTTTTGTTACTTTTCAAGCTTTCTGTCGTCTTTGTGCCTTTATGTACTTTCTTGCAGCTTGACATTGTACTTCCTGAACTGGACTTCAGAAACACTCAGATCTGTGCTTAGACCACAGTCATTGCTTATAATTAGCTTATGACCACGGTGTTCACAAAAGTCTCTGTTCTGAATTCTCAGAAGGCCAGTCATTTTCTAAGTGAAACCACATTTTGTTTTTCTCCTCTGATGCTACACTCAATACCAGCACTTTACCTGATTTTGACCTTCACACCCTGTTTATGAGCAGCTGCCAGGTCCCACAGATCTTTCTAGACTCTTGAGGTTCTCTACTCTGCACAGTGATGCCTCAAGGGCTCTTCTGACCATTCCCATGACTCCACTATGACTCTGGGCACCTTCTGTCCTCCCCTTGCCAGCACTAGATGTCTTTCCAGCTTCTTATAGCACAACCAGGGACATGGGGACTGCCTCAGAATGCCAGCACTACCTTGAACTAGTTGAGCAAACTGGAACATTTCACCCACTCTGAGCCTTGGTTTGGTCATCAGTGAGATACAAGGGGTTCAATTATGGTCTTCAAAAATCCCCTCTTCCACAGTGAAAAGGAGCTCCTAAAGAAACCTCCAAGTCTTCCTTTTCCTATATTCAACACCACAATTTTCAAGTCCCATTGCCATTTCTGAGAAATCTTTAAGATCCATCCTGTTTTCCCACTGCACTCAATCTCAAACTCTTATCTTTTTACTTCATGCAAGGATTACTACAAAAGACACTCCAATTCTTGTATTTTCCACTTCACCAACATAGAAGCAGGTGCGATCCCTGAAACACATCATGCTGTATCGTATCTCTATACATTCCTCCCTGGAATGTTCTTTTCTTCCCTCCTTTCCAGTCTCTTTCCTGCTGCTGTTGCTATTCTCCCCAAGTGAAATCCCCATCCTTGTGCAAGTCTCGGCCCAGATGCCACCTCCTTTGGGAGTCAGCTACACTGCCTGGCTGACTGCTACACTGCTCCAACTCCCTTCGGCACACACGAACGCCTCTGGCACAGCAGCTGGAATGTGGTCTTACAGTATCAGAATGACGAATTGTCCCCTGCCAGCCTAAAGCTTCCGAGAGGACAAAGATCCTAGTGTTCTCATCTTTCTAACTAGGGTCTATCATGGTGCCTACCTCAGGACATAACTGAGCACATCTTCACTCCTCGGCCTTTCATTGCTTTATCTACTTTCTCTCCCCAAGCAAGATCTTCAGCTGCCCCTGAAGCCACCTCTGACGGCTATTGCTCACAATGATCTTTCCCATCCTCAACTCCTATTTATAGTCAGTGCATATGAATGTAGGCCCTAATTACTTCACTGTTATCATGTATAATTTAATTTTCCCTGAGAGAAGCTAAGTTTCTCAAGGGCAAGAGCCCTATTTCAGACTCTCTGGAGAGCCTGACACCACCCTGCAGAGAAAAGGTGTTCACTGTCTAAATCACAGCCCTGACCATCGTGGGCATAGGAGCAATAACTATAATTTGTCAGACACTTGCTTTGTGCCAAGCACTGGATACTGTGTGCCTCATACATGAACTCATGAAAATGACTTAAAAATGTGCTCTGCTGTAAGAATGCTATTTATTTTAAACATGTTAAGTCTCAGTTCTAGAGCCCAATGATCAATAAGGTAGAGGAAACATTATGCCAAAAATATTGCCTTAAGATTTAAAAACAACCTAAAAGAGAGAAAATTAACATTTATCCTGGCCTGAAGTTAAATTTATCTGTAGTTTTGAATATATTAAACACTGTTAAATTCAGTTACAATATTCAGGGAAGTATTAGGAAAAAGGGTTTAATTTAAGTAAATGTGGTTTGGAGAGATTAGAGAAAATACCCATGAATTTAAACTGAATTTTGAAAAATCTAAAAGCTAACCCATATAGATGATGAATTCTATAATAAATCAAAATAGGATTTGCTCAACAAAATATCCAGAAAGGAACATGTAAGAAACAGATTAAAAAAAACCTTTAGAGTTGTTTGGAGTATTCAATAATTGACTGAAAGTGTGGTCTCTTGTAGAAGGGAAAATTGTAGACTGACCACATAAAATACCCCCTGCACTACCTTCCCAAAATGAGCCACCAGATAGGGTCAAGGTGCTAAGCTGTACCTGGGGTGATAAGAGCTGCAGGCTGTTGGCTCTGGCTGCCATCCCTTGCCCTATACTCAGACTTCCATCCAAGCCTTTGGCTCTCACTTTGTCCCGGGTCACATACATGGAATGCCTATGAGGACGCTGCTGAGAGGAGAAGGGGCTGGTATATCCCAGCCCATAAGAAAAGGATTCATGAGGTGCAGACAATGAGTGGGAATGGCTGTTGTCCATGTGCTCAGGCAGCTTCAATTCCTCCATGGTTTTTGAATGCCTAGTTGTGGTTCGGCGTGAGTCCAGTGTGCCCTCATTTCGGTTATTTCTCCCTGAAGGGCTAAGCAAAGTTCTTGAGTCACTGTGTCTGGTGGGCGTTGGGCTGGTAGGAGAGTTTAAGTCCAAGCAGCTGGATGGAAAATACCTATTGGTGTTGGTCTCTGTAATTTGGGCCCTTGCTTCAGAAAGGTTGCTCACGGACTTGGAGTCACTCAATGCTCCGTGGCTTTTGGCCTTGGTCCGGTAGGAAGGACTCCTGGAGGACTGGGGAATGGTGTCGATATAGCTGTGCCGACTCTGCTTCTCACTGGGTTGCAGTGTTCCAGCTTTGCTCTGAGAGCTTTCCATGAATGAATGCCGGTTCTGCTGAGATCTACTGCTGGACTTCAGGTACTTTGTGCCTGGGCCTTCTGAAGGCTTCGGGTCAATATTAAAGTCAAACTCTGTTTTGGATTTGGCTTCTTTTGGACTAAGAAGGTGTGGCATATTGTTGTTGGTGAGATCTTTGCTGGAAGACCCAGGCTGGGTGCTTGTTTGGTAGGTTTTGGTATGCATTGGACTCAGAGTAGCTCCAGCAAGGTTCCCATTCAGAAAGCTTTCATTAGCAGGAAGGCCTTCATCAGCCCGGGGCAGACCCACACTTAGGTTCTGAATGTCCTTGCTGTTGGATCGATGGTGAGTTTGTAAAGCAGCACCTTTGCTGGCTTGGTTTCTACATTGAAAACAAAAGAAGCATGTAAGTTTCCCTCAATAGCAGGTACAAAGAATCATGTTAAAAAAGAAAAAAGAACACATACTTAAAACACCTGCTGACTAAAAACATGAATTCTCTCAAACATATGCCAATCAATACAAATAAGTTCATCAGACTGTTACTCCACCACAAAGCACTGGTCCTAGTGAAGTTATTTTGGCATCCTGACATGCTCAGCTAACTTGTTGCCAACAATTTCTAACTGATAATCTGGCAAACCATGTTTTTGCTATGTTGGTACTTCTATGAGTGTTTGTTATAAAATATCTGCCAAGGAGAAGAGAGCTGAGCTACAGAAAGACTCTTTACAAAACAACTCTTTTATCTGCCTGACTGTCAGAAGACAACACTTAGACTTGCAGGTTACTGTGTTCCTTGAACTTCATTTTTGTTTGTAAAACTCCTAGCCTGCCTCAGAGATAATGTACTCATAGCCCATACATACAGACACCAATCATTGTCTCTTTTGTCTAGGCTGTACAGAAAAAGACTGAGAATTCTAGCAATGTACTCATTAAAAGAAATTGACACTCTAAAAAGAAATGTCAACTGCCCAGTGAGGCTTACTGAAAACATGATGATTAATGTTCATGTTTTGGAGAAGTGGCAATTACTTGGGGGTTCTTCAGACTTCTCCTTGTACACTAAACAGGAATCTATACTGGATCACAGGGATCTGAAAATGTTAACTGCTCACCAAAACACACAATTTAGTCTCTTCTTCATTTCACATTTCATTATTCCAAACTGACTAAGGCCTTCTTTAGGACTCGAAGCTCCATCTCCTGCTTGGTTTAAAATGCAAACTATCAATCCAGAGGAAAATCTTGTCCTTTATCTGAAAGCTGAAACTGACAATAAAGCTAGGAGAGAGGGGAATTTAGGCAGATAGCAGCCCTAAACAGTTAACTTAAAGTAAACTAAAATTCAGGGCCTAAATAAATTAGCATACAGAAACAGACTATGAAGGCCAAATAAAATGCAAGAGACAAAAGAATAGGTCCTTAACAAAATGGGAGACTGTGGAGGAAGTAAAATACAAATGAAGCAGCTTGCTTCCCAGACATCAAAGGCCTACCAACAACCAGGAACATCCCTGCTTTCTGTCACATACACCAGTCCCCAAAACTGTATAAAAACCCAAGTCCTAAACATCTAGGGTATCCGCCTTTCAGAACATCCCTCTCTGACTAGCAAAGAGCTTCTCTTTCATTCTTCCTAATAAACAAACATTTGGCCACTTCCCACCCTTGCTGTTTGTTGAATCTTCCGTTGCCCCTGAGCAAGGACCTGAGATCATTACAAAACCACAGCAAAATCAGTATGTTCTACTCTAAGTATTTAAAGGACCAAATGGTGGTTTAGCATTTAGAATATTTCAAAAGAAAATAATTGTTTACACAGTTCCCTTTTTACTCCTCATTCAGAAAATGTTGTAAATATTCCTATTGATAAAGATGGTTTGATTTTGGAGAGTTGTTTCCAGCACACACTAACTGGAAGAAAAGTCCCCGGTTTTTTTTTCATGCAGAATGATAACCCATGAAACTATGCCTTCTCATTTTACTTGTAAGAATTTGCATGCTAAAGCATCAAATATAAAGGCCCTTTTCCTATTGTGTCTTTCAGATGTTTATCTCTGCCAGAAATCTACCTGAGAGCATCAAAAAAAACATCTGCTATTCAACCACTAACAGTGTGGAAGACTTCATCTCTTAAATGCACTCACTAATCTTTCCCAGATAGGTTACAAGAATCATAGCATTAAATAAGGACGCTTAAATTTGAGCTAAACAAATGTCAAATCCCAGACCTAGCAAGAAATGCAAAGAAGAAAAGTTAAGTTACATTTGCTGCTAAATGCTATCTGCAAAATCTATTCCCAGAAAAAAGGGACAGTCCTTATATCCTAAAGGCTTCAGGTTTCAAACAATCAGAGTTGTTTGTCAACTTACATGCTGGTGACTAAAAATATCTCAGCAACTTCAAAAGCCCATGAAAACTATGCTTTCTCATTTTCTCTCTAAGAACCTACATGCTAAGGTATTAAAGGCTCTTTTCCTACTGTAGCTTTCAGATAATCTCTGCTAGAAATCTGAGAGCATCAGAAAACATCCACAAATAGATCTAAGTATGTTGGTTATTCTCCATTTGCCCAACTCTCACTCCATTCTCCACTCTTCTGTTTGGTTCTTGGTCTAAGGACCCCAACGCTGTAGACTGCACTCCCCGGTTCCCTAGTTGGCTATGTTCCACTAGGGCTTAGCTGGGGAAGGTATCACCACACAAAAAAGGCTGGGGGAGGCCTTCCCTTTTCCTTCTTGGCATCAGCACCCTGATTCAGATCCTAGCCATATCCCTCCAGATGACAATTTCCACAGGGTAGCTCCTCCCGCCCAGGGCCAGCTCTGCCTCAGGCTCTCAGAACCTTATTTCTTCCTTTTTACCTTCAGGCCTAGAGATAGCAATGGCAGAGAGATATAACACATGCAGATATTGAGAAATATCTCAAGCTGAAAAAAAGATCAGAAATGACAGAGAACAGCGGAGGCCGAGCTGCCAGAGCTTCTAGAACTGTTAAAATCACTGCTATCAGTGTTGAGCACAAACCTACACAGGAACTTATACATATTCACAGCAATGAAGATACAATTTCTAACATAAAGTAGAGGCTGTAAAGTTAAGGCAAAAACAGCTGTCAAAGCTTTAAGTTTTCCACAAATGTACAAAGAGCCTAAACCAGTATTCTGAATGTTTCTGCCTCAGCATTAATTGAAAGCCATTGAGCTTTGTACATATCATAATCCCTATGTAAAAAGGGCATCATATTATCTTCAAATTGGAGTTTGCCAAAGCACAACAACAATAAAAAAGAAACAGCTTTTAAAATTCCATAGCTCTCTTTGACACACGGTTGTAAAGAATCTGTATTAAACTGCCAAGCACTTAAAGTGAAAGAGTTGACAGATAAACTACTCTTAAATGGCTGGCATGATAAATGGGTGGATAGATGGTTAACGTATTTACTTAAAATAAGTTTTAAAAGCAAACAGTAAAGGCACAAAGCTACATTTTTAGAAGGCTGGAGAAGCAAGTCCAAGGAGGGAGGAGAATGGGGAGATAGTGTGAAGCACTATCATGCCATATCAGAGGTGAAAGGAACCTCAGCAGAGCCTAAAAGGAGACAGGCAAGGGGCTGAGGAATGCCTTAGTCCAGTGCATCCTGTGGAGAAAAGAATTTGGAAGACAAGGACGTGAGTGTGAGAGTGTGTGTGTGTGTGTGTGCGCGTGCGTGCATGTGGGACAAGGCAGAAGAGCGTGTAAATGGTAGCCAGTGAACACAGTGCTGTATATCTTCCAGTCCAAGGAGGTTCAAGTTGGTGTTCTGATTGAAGCTAGAATTAGTGTTCTAAAGACTGTGGAATGTGTATGGACCATTGACAAGTGTGGGGAGAAAGCCCTCAGATGCATGTAACCACGTGGGACTTTTTCTTTAATATATTTTTTTGGTACCGGGGATTGAACTCAGGACCTTGCACTTGCAAGGCAGGTGGCGTCACCACTGAACTAAATCCCGGCTCTTTAATATATTCGATACAGTGTCAAGACCTAAAAATGAACTTCTCCAGAGATTTTTATTTACTTATAATTTTCACTGTAATCTACTTCAAAAGGGGATTTGGGAGGACTCCTCAAAGATCTGTATAAATCATCTCCTCTGCACCTCCCATAAATACCTCACCACACAGCCTCTTTAACAGATTCCTCAACTGAATTCCTAAGGACAACCTCAGGTCCTCAAGGGTTAAACAAGGACTCTCTTAAGTGAGTTGCTACAAGACAAATACTAAGGCTCCTTTTCATGGTACAGGTTATACCATTAATGACTACAGCACAAACCACAAATTATCGTCAGTCTGCCAAACTTTACATCATTGGAATAATTTTCTTTTTAAGTGTAAACTAGAGAAGCCAAGTGACAATTCAGGCAGAAGGGAGATAAAAGGACCTGAATGGAGAGCAATCTCAGAAAAGACACAGGAGTAATGTAAACTTGCAAAATGCAAAGGATCAACCAAATGATGACCATTATTCCTTGACTTAGTGTACTAAACTCGCATGGAAACAAACAAACCAGCTAAGAATGATCTATAAGCTATGAGGGCAAACAGTAAGTGAAACCTTCACTTTAAAGAAGAGTAAACAGGTCTGCAACACTATCACAAAGCAAAGAGAAGACACTTGGTTATCACCAGTTCATGGGTGTCCTCTCAGACCTAAAAAGTACCAGATATTGAGCTTTCAAACTTCCAACCCATTAAGAACATCTGTACAGCCAGACTAGGTGATACACACCTGTAATCCTGGCTACTCAGGAAGCCAAGGCAGAAAGATCATGAGTTTGAGGCTAGCCTGGGCAACATAGCAAGACTCTTATCTCAAAGTAAAGTAAAATAAAATAAAATAAAACGGGCTAGAATATTGCTCAGTGGTAGAGCACCACTGCGTTCAATCCCTAGTACTGCAAAAAGAAAATAAAAAACAAAACAAAGCAAAACAAAAAACCAGTTGTTCTATATGGAGGAAAAAATGGAAGGTTAAATTTTAAAAGCTTCATAGTAAGAATTATTGTTTTCTATTTCTCTTCTAAAAGTAGATGACAGAAACTATTTCTATGTCCTAATTTAATAATGTCAGAGGCTAAGACCAGCTTCTGGGAGATGAAGGAAGATAAGGGAGACTGTGCCTACGACACTGTCTTCCTGAAAAAGCAGCCAGCACAATCAAGGAATGTCTGGTTGCAAAGACAACCTGACTAATCCAATCTTGGGGGGTGCATGCATGTATTGTGTGTGTCTGTGTGTCTGTGTGTTTCAGAAAACAGGTTTTTTTAAAGGCTGTTAAAAAGCACCACATAATATCACTGATTTTACTCTTTCTATATGCTTTTTATGAAAAATGTATTTCTCAATTCAACAATTAAGATAAGAACAACCACAACAAAAAACCTGTAAGATCCTTTGAAAAGAGCCAGTCTACTTGGTTCAATTGCAAAGAATCCATTCTCACCCATGTGTCTGGCATCCTCTGCCCTCATCTACAGCATAATCCCTGGGTGCCATTTACACAGAACCTTCTAGCTTTTAAGGCTGGAAACCCCGAGGTACTAACTCAATGCTACCTTTCCCAAGGGCAACATAGGTTTCCATGATACACTTGTTAAAGATAAGAAAATCTTTAAGACCCACACAACTCTTTAATTATAGTTCTGAATCATGTAATAAGCATAAGAAGATATTTTGGAATAAAGAGGGCTTTCCTTCTTTTCTCTAATTGCCTAATTTTAGCAGCCACCTCCTCCACCTACTTGCAAGACCAAGACTGCATCTGTATTTCCTTAAAAGGGAATATTTACCTATTAGATAATGTGCTGCTTTCCACGTGATAAGGTTTCCTTTTTGCTGACCTTGAAGGGGATCGATCCAAAAGTCTCTGGGTTTGAAATGTGGGGTGATTCAAACATTGTTCTGTCAAGTATCTGTCAGCTGGGTCCAACTTCAGTAAATTCTTTGGAAATAAAGTTCAAGATGGGAGATGACGTTACAAACTCAAGTTTAAATTCTAATAAAATACATGGTAATTAAAGAATATGTAACAAATACAGTTCAGAAAAAAAGTCTATCTACATCACTCATAATCTCCACCATTATTGTCCTCTTGGTAGATATCTTCCCAGCCCTTTTTTGAGTATCATATATATATATTTTTGGGTTTTTTTTTTCTTTTTGGTACCAGGGATTGAACTCGGGTCTTTGAGCATGCAAGGCAAGCAGCAGAACCACTGAGGTAAATCCCCAGCCCCCATACATTTTTTTCTTTTATCAAAGCTACACAAGTTTTATATCCCACACTTTTCACTTACTAATCAAAAAACATATGAAACATATAAAAACTTTTAAGTAAGTACATATTCATATTATTTTTCTCCTGTCCCTCAAGATATCAGTTCCCATCTAGAGGTAGCCCAGGTCACCAGTCTCCTGTGCAATCTTCCATAGATATATTTTGTACATATCCCTATCCCCTTGGTTTTTTTTTAACCTAAATAGTAGCATACATACACAGCTATCTGCATTCAGGTTCCTTTCCATTTCACATAGCAACTAAGGAGAACATTCCGTATCAGTAAAGAGCTTCAACTCTATGGATGTACTTTAGTCAGTGTTTAGCAATGCCTAAATGACATCCAGGGTTGGCCCCTTATTTTATTATTATGAACAACATGGCAACAAATATATAATTTGTAGGGGGGGGGTGCAGTGCTGGCCATCAAATCCAGGAATTTGCACATGCCAGGCCAGGGTTCTGAGCTACATCTCTGTCCTTACAACATGTTTTTTAATAACTGCATGAAAGTTTGTGGCATGCACATACAATGATTTACTTAGCCAGCATCCTATGGTTGCATCTAGGTGGCAGCAGCTTTTCACTATTATAATCCATATGGTAATAATCACCTGAAAGCTTTCATAGGATAAACTTCTGAAGATGGAAATTTTAGGTATATAAACTTTTAAGGATTCTTTTCTGTGTAGGAAATTACCACAAATTACCCCCTAGAAAGGTTGTTTCAAATTATATACCTCTTAGCAATTGTATGAATATGCCAATTTCTTGGCGTCCTCATCAACAAGCATCTCATTCTCTTTTTGCATTTGACTGAGGTTGAATACTTTTACATTTATTACTTACATATGTTTTCTTATTTTTCTATTTATGCAACTATTTTTTATTTGTGAGTATTATTTATTCACAAAGGCACCTAACCCTTTATGTTGCACATATCACATTCTTTATAACTAAAAATTTTTCCAGTATTATTTACCTTAGTAAGTGGACAAGATTTGTGAAGTGAATCATCATTATTAGGACTAATTTTTATTTACAAATGAAGCAAATATCTAGCCAGGCATGGTGGTGCATGCCTGTAATTCCAACACTCTAGGAGGCTGAGGTAGAAAGATGCCAAGTTTATATCTAGCTTGAGCAAATTAGGTGCTCATTGAAAAAAAAAGTTTGGGGTCATGGCTTAGTGCAAAGGCCCTGGGTTCAATCCCCATTCCTCATAGGAAAAAAAAATCTAGCAAATTATCTAAGGAAATACAACCTACAAAGCCTAACTCAACACACACAGCACACTGAAATTTGCTCTGAGTGGCTGCCATTGTGTCTCACAGGAAGGAAGAAGGGTGAAAATTCAGCATTCACAAATCCATCTCTAGCTTGCTTTTTGCCCACAGTTAGCTCTTTGTGGTCCACTGTTAAACAGTGGAAGCAAATTTGCTCCCAACAAGCCAGGCTTCAATTTCAGACAACCATTTTCAATCTAGCACCACAGAAAATTTGAATTCTGATCTACCATATAATGAAATATTCACTTTTGGTCAAAAGATTCTGGTTATCAAAACAAGTTACCGATCACATGCAAGTGGATTTATATTAACATTAATTAAGACACAACTCTGAAATTATCTCATTTTTCTTCTTTATTTTAGAACAAAAATTGTGGAGGTAGATAAAATGATTTTGTTCTCACTGGCAGCTTGAAGCAGATTACATCAAAATTGTTTCAATTATTAAGACAAAGGAAAATTGGCCCTTGATTAGTCTTCTAAATTTGAAGTACTTACGAGCTTTCAGAATCCAAATATCTGCTAGTATCAGTGTTTTTAAATTTATTTGATATCAAGTAGACATTACTGTACTACAAAAAACTACATGTATATTTATACATATAGGTATTTTCAAATTACTTGAAAGGATGAAGGCTTTATGAGCAAAATATGAAATTTACCCAGTTAATAATTTCTACAGTTTGACATTTGGGGGAAATACAGTATCATCACCATCATCGTCAGTTGTTTTTTTTTTACTAAAATAGTCAACATTATTATTGTAGTTCATCCTAAAATTAAAAAGCACTTGAATTCTGGCAACTCATATCCCCACTAAAATGGCCAACAGGAATAGACACAGGATGAGATGGCCATTTTAGATATGTAAACAAAATTATCAAGACAGCTTTAGGAAATGGAAACGAGAATATTTCTTCATGAAAAGAAAACATAGTTTTCCATTTTCAAATTCATTTTCAAAAGCAGCCAAAAGAAAAGGGAATGATGTATTCACATAGCATTCAGTAAGAAGGCAGTACTCATGGCTGGTGAGAGAAGTCAGAAAGTATGGTTTCTATAGGCACAGCAGGATGAGGTGGAAAGCCTACGCAGTATTATAAGGAGGTTTCTGGGTAATAATTTTCTATATTCTGACCTAGTTAAGGTTATAAGAATATGTTTACATTATAAAAATGAGCTGAAATACAGATATAGTTTGAGCACCTTTTGAATGTAATTTCAATAAAAAATTTACTTACTGTTAAAGAACTTTGATAGTAAACATCATTAAATAAACATAAATTTGAAAGTTTAACATCCAAACTAGTACATGTACGCAAAGATTCAGGATATTATTCTGATTTTATCTGTGCTATCTTTTAATCAGTATTCATTTTTATCAGGTACCACACTGACTGGTAATTATACTTGGTAATGATTTAACATAAAAGTTCAGCTACTTTTAACTAAAAAAAGACAAAAGGCAGAAAACATGAAATTATACTTAATTCCATTTTCCTACATTATTTACTTTTTAAAAGTTACCAAATACTTAAGAATCTGATCATTAAGTATAGGCTGCGTGAAAGAATATATTGATAAATCCAACTGATATAAGTGAAAATTTATGCCTAAAGAAGCTGAGTTTTGAGCATTTCTTTTCCTAAAATTGCATTTTTAAATCTGTACTCAGAACATTAGTGCTTCAGAGTTTTATAAAAAAACATTCAATATTTAAATTTGGGAAACATTGAGTGAGACAGAATGGCTTCTTTACTGCAAGATTTCTGAAAGCTATTATAAGGTTAATGAATATTACAAATCTCTACAAAAGGTTATACAGTATGTGGCCTTTCCAAAATGCCACATCCCCTGCCCCCATCTCCAGCCCCATACCTATTTACACTCACTTCCCAGAAACAGAGATTAAAGAGTTTAAAGCACAGCAAAATTCTAATGCAGCTCAACATTTCCAACTGTGCTAAGTATGTCTTTTAGAGGTTCTGTGCACAGTGTAGCTTTCTACTGATTTTGATTGTTGACTGGATGGACATAAAACAAAATTGATCTATTTACAAGTGTCTTTTTGAAGGTCTACTAGCAAACCACAAACATTTGCTTATGCACTTATTGGCTGCAATGAAAACTGGGAAAATATGAAAAATAGTGCTCACTTAAGGGGTTCACTGTCTACTAGGGAAGAAAAACTTGAATAAAGAAATTTGAGGATATTTTCAGTAGTTCAGAGCAAGAACTCTTCTGGACTAGAGGGCTAGCATGAGGAGGAACACTCAGGTCTCAGTGGTAGAAGTGATCCCGACATGTTTAAAGAGCCAGAAAGAGCAGTCTGAGAAAGGTCAAGTTAGAAAAGAAGAAAAATTAGATTCACTGATTAATTCTATATAGCCTATGAGAGCTTGTAAATATATAAAAATTGTTTAATATTTTTCCCTTCAACATTCAAGATTTATTTTATAACTTATGCTTGAGCTGTTCTTGGGCATTAACAAATTTTTATTATCCTGTCCATTTTAGGAAACTAAAGATCTCATGCCCCTGTCTAGTTGAACTATGACACTACCAGATCCTGTAATTTTAAATATTACATATGTCTTAACAAGACATAATCTGTCATATTCACCATTGTGTGCCTACTGACAAAATACTTAATTCATAAACACAGTCCCTCATTACCATTATGTGTCTACAAGCATAATATTTAATTCATGAAAGTAGGTAATGATCACACATAGACACAAAAAAATCCATAAACTAAAGGCTATTTGTTATACAGATATAAACTTCTCCTACCTTCATCAGGTCAAGTAAAACACTATTTAAAATTCCAAGGTATCTTCTCTCCAATGACTGTGGATGGTTAACAGCTGGAAACTGTAAGGATAACACAATAGGAATGTCAGCATTTGGGGATGGTATAGTGGCTTGTATCTAGATGTCCCCCCCTAAAGCCTCATACAGTCATAGATGGGAGTTTCCAAGGTGGCTGGATTAGGGTGTGTGAATGTGGATTAAGGGTGTGATACTAGGATGAAGGGTATGGATAATGGAAGCCCCATCCTGGGTATGAGTGGCACCAATCAATAGGTTTGTAGCCTGGATGGAATATATAGGGACAGAAAGAAGGCAGGCTTGCTGCTGCTGCTTGATGCTTCACTGTCTCCTGCCTGCTTTGACATGGACTGTTTCTCCTCTTCCAGGCCACTCTGCATTAGAGCCAGTCGACTATGGACTTAAGATATCTACAACTGTGAATTGAAATAAACCTTTCCTTCTTTAACTTGTGGGTGTCAGGTATTTTGTCTCAGCAATGAGAAAAGTAACTAAGACAGAAAGATATATTGTGCACAGGCCTATGAGAGAGGCAGAAGGGAGCAGCTGAGCAAAAGTTAATGTTCTAGTGCCATTCAAAGTCAAAATCATATTTGTATATTACTTTTTATATCTTTGTATTATAGCTATGAATTAACAGGACTGGATATTAAATAACAGAAACTCTGGTGAACTATGAAACTTAAATCTAGGCATATAATACTAAGGAATGTAAAATAAAATATAAAAGTCAGAAACTCTATTTATACAGGATATAGAATATTGTCTTCTTAGTTTAGTTCCAAACAGTTTATATAGAATGCCTGTTTATACAGATAATTCTTTTTTTTTCCCCAGACAATTCTTAATTACTGATGGTAACTTGGGATGTAACATAAGGAACATGATATAATATCATGTAAGATTTTTATGGTACTTTTACAGCAGCATAACATTTACAACTGAAAATAGAGGAGAAAAATGCAGCAAGAGGCCTGTAAGACCATAGAAGTAAAACTAAGTGAATTCTGATACTGGTTGCATTATTTCATTCATTCATTCATTCATTCATTCATTCATTTTTTTAGATAGTATCTCACTATGTAGTACAAGTTAACCTGGAACTTGCTATGGAGCTAGGCTTGAACTTGCAAACCTTCTGCCTCTGCCTCCCAAGTCCTAGGATTACAGGTACATGCCATTGTACTTGCCTTGTATTATTGCTTTCAATGTAATACTTTTAATGACCTGTTTTCAAATCTTTCCTTTTTGGGTTGATTTTTAAAAATTTGCTTTTGCAGCTTAACAAATACATGTTTTAAAAAGATGAGGAAAAGATTCAAGGTTGTTTAAATGTTCTATCCTTTCCTCTGCCAATTTACACTTGGTCATACTTGAGTAGAGGTTGAAGCATTGGGTAGTATGACTAGCAGAGCCCAATGTCAAATGTGAGGGCTAGTTTCCTTCTAATATACATTTCCTCTGTATCAACATAAGAACATTTCAAAGTACTAAAATCCTTAAATATGCTAAATAAGTAGAAAGGAGGACTAATGACGTAGGTATTTAGGGAGTAATTATGACAGCATCTGTACACTGTGCTTGGTAGGGCAGGAGATATAGAATATACCCGAGTAGGAGCTAAGCCTTGCACTTGAGGAATCCATTGTCTCGTTGGGAAAGCAATCAGTGCCAAACTGTGGAGCTGTACAGTCTGATGGAAGCTCAGAGAAAGGAGACAGTGGCAGTTTGTGGCTATAGAAGAATGAACTGGTAGGTAATATTTGAATTAGGCTTTAAAAGATAAGAAAAATATGAAGATAGGGAAAAGTAGGACAGTACATTCCAGACAGAGGAAGATGGAACAATGTGAGTATAACAAAGATGTATAGGCAAAAAAGCTAAAACTGATTTCTTAGGGAAGCAATCCTAGGTCAGGCATTTTAGGTATTATTATCCCTTAAAGACATAAAAAATTATATCAGAAAGTTCAAGTAACTGATTAAAGCAAAATTACATAATTAACAAGCAGTAGAACTAGCATTTGCACCCAGGCCTGTGATGTAAACCCACACTCTAAACTGAGGCACTTCTCCTAAGGAGGGTACAGAAGTTCCTTTGATGTTGCTGGAGCGCTAGATATCAGCCCAAAGAAAGAAACCTGCTCTGCCATGATAAAAGACCCTACCCCAGTACATTTTAATTAACATTTTACTTCTGAGTTCTATCTTATGCTACCAGATACTATTCCCTTTTATTTTCCCAGAAATAACATTTCACTGATAAGAAAATTAATATTCAAAGTCAAAGGGTATTAGAAATATTAGAATAAAATGATCAAGCAAACTCCTAACTTAAAAATTTACTTATATGCTTTTGAATGAACTCTTACTATTCTAACATCAGATTAATTCAATAAATAGTCAAAACAAGCACAGAAGTTTAAGGCATATCCCAGTCAGTAGTTTGTTTTCTTTCCTAATCACTTAGCTAATACAATAAAATAAGAGTATCTCTTTACTAAGCACTGCTCTGGGCATTTTATATACAACATTTCATTTTCACAACAACCTCATTAGGTGATACCCCTGCCCCATCACCAAGTTACACACAAAAAACAGAAGCACATATGGTAAAAGAACTTTTTGAGGCCCTTCAAGTAATAAATATGGAGCTAGGCTTTGAACTCTCCCAGTCTTTTATTTTTTTTCCAAATAATGCATACAATTACAGCAACATTTAGTGGATTTTTCAGTCTCTTCATAAGGGGATCCAAACGCCTATCACACTGATTAGTTCCTGGTGACCATATGGCTCACAGCAAATACAGCTCACAGGCCCTGTATGCTTACTTATCTGTTGCAGACATTCTTAAGTGATAGCATAGGGAAAAATTTTCTCTCAAAAGATGTTAAACCTCTAAAGACACTGAATTAACTTAAAACACCACAAACATTTTCAGACTAAAATGTTAACATATAAAGGTTTACAAAAATCAAAGTGTCATGGAAGTAGCAATTTCCCTGAAGAACATTTATAGGCAGCACTGTTTAATGGAGAGGTCTGTGAACAAACAGGACCACAGACAAATGAGGAAAAGACAGCCTTCACATGGCCTCTCCATTCTAAATCTATTCCACTGTATTCTTCAATATCCATTTAAAATTTCAAATCCCCATAAACCCTTTCTAATGAATCCTCAACTATGATTTTTACTTTCCAGAATGTTTGACATGGTCACAGTCTTTCGAAACAATAATGGGATATATTAGAAAACAGTACAAATAAGTAAATAATGCAGTACTTTTTATTACATGATTTCCTATAAATTGTATTGTTTTAATTATTTCAGTATGAAAGTCTAAATTCTGCAGCTAGTTTAGAAGCTATTATGAATCCCAGGTACATGTCAGATCTGCTTATATTCTCTTCAGAGAATCCATCATGGAGCCACTTTAACCAGGCCAAGAAGTCACCGAGTAGACCAAACTTAACTAAAGTTCTAGCAGTTGAGATGAACTATTCAATGTTATTCAACCTAGCAGGCACTTTTCTAAGAGTGCCACAAATGCAATGGTAAACAGAACAGTCCATTTCCTCAAGAAATTAATTAGTCCAGTGAGGATACATATTTGCAACCAGTAACTTAAAAGAGAATGCAATGGGTGCTATAAAAAAAGTGACTAGAGTGCTATGGGAACTCAGAAGAAGTTACCTACTGAGCCTGGGATAGTCTAGAAGGGCTTCATGGAGAGAGAAGATTGGGTCTGAGTCTGAGTAAGTATTGGGAGCACCACAGAAATGGAAAGGAAGCATTGCAGAAGCTACAGGTAAAGAAAATGATGGAAGGGAAATGTGGCCCAAGAAAAAGGGATAGGGGAGGGATAGGCTAGAGAGCTAAGAACAAGGGGTCTTTAATGCTCCCCTCTCAGTTGTTTAAACTTTATCAATACTCCCATAGAAGTTTTGAAACAAAAAGGAGATAGAATTAAATGCATGGCTGGAGAAATGTGAAAAGACTTAACCTTAAGGGAAGACAGATACTGTTCAAGAGATCAGTTTGGGAGCAAATGCCTATAGTTTAGGTGAAGGCAATGACAGTGAGAGGATTCGACATGGAGAGAAAAGAAATAAAACTGAGCTTAAGTGTTGATGTCACAGATTGGCTTGATAAATCACTCAGCAGATGTGTTTCTGTATTCAATGCTTCAAGTACAGCATTAACACAGACAATGTCTGTCCTCCGGGAACTTATATGCTAGTGGGGGATAGCTAGGCATTGATAATTAACAAGTAAATAAATTGATGAAATAATTCCATCATATTGTGGTAAGTGGTATGATAGACAAAAAGAAGAGTGCCATGAGGGGAACAGGAAGGAGGGCTGGGGGAGACAGTATAAAGGGTGGCCAGATGGAGGAGGCATTGTATCAGTTGAGATTTACAAAATGAGGAAGGACCATACCTGGGAGGAACCTTTCCCAAAGAAGCCAAAGTCCTAAACACATAAAGCTTGAAAAACCTTACAATGTTTAAGAAAGCCAAAGAACAGGCAAGAGTGCTGAGGATTTAGAAAGGGAAGGGAATGGAGATAAGTATGAGGCAAGGTTAGGGAGCCAGAGAGCCTGGACTGGATTAGGCAAGGTCTCATAGGTTATAGGCAAAGAATTTTGAATGATTTTCAGTGAAAGAAATTCAGTAATTATGACCTACTTTATTTGTGAATAATAGACTTTCTTCTAGATTGAAGGCAAGTCCTATTTATTGTCATATTTTCTACATCTAGTATGACAAATGTTCAATGACTCTTGAACTAACCTATTCCACCACATGTGGTATTTGTACCCTAATTGATGCCACAAATTTGGACAATTTTTGGCTTACAAAGACAAAAAGAAAAAGAAAAATCTACCTGAGATAATTCAGGCACTTTGGAAAGAAAGAAAGAAGATGGTAGAGAAACACACCTTGGATCAATCCATTTCCTCCACATCCATTAAACCCAGCCGGAGCTGGGGCTGTACTGGGCACTCATGTATGGACGCTGGTATCCTCCAAAGGGAAATTAACTGAGGTCCAAAGAGTCAAAGAAAAAAAATCAAAGTGTTTTGCCAATGGCAGGAAAACATGGTTTGAAAAATATGTATTTAAGAGAAAGAAAGGAAGTGATGGCAAGATTATTTTGTAGTCCCCATAATGACCACCAAGTGACATGCTGGCCCAAAAGAGTGCTTGACAACTTTTAAAGAGTCATGTTTGGGGTAAATGGATAAGAGAAGCAGCCTATAACTCACTGGCCACTATACTGAATTGGTCCTGTAGGCTAAATATTTCTCATTTCAGGAAACTTTAGACTTTCTAAGATGCTTTTAAGCATATTCTCAGAAAACATGCTTTATACAAAGTGATCAAGTTCAGGAAAGACAACATGGTGATCTGAAAAGAAAACTTGATGTTTCACTGTGAATAGACAAGAAATTGCTAGAACAAGAATCTTTAAGCTTGCACAATACAAGCATTTATGGCCCTTTTCAAATCACTACAAATGTGCTTGCTCAAGCAGCAGTCATTCATACATTTTGTATCTTTGGGGATGCTTAATGTTGTAGATAAGGAGTCTAAAATAACCAAGATTAGAATATAATAATGCATATGCTAAAAGAGATTTTGAAAAATTAGAATTTACAAATTAGCAGCTCCCACTTTCAAATTCTGGCTGCTTTTTAAATTCATAAATAATATATAAGACTCAGGAATAAAATATTATAGTAAGGATTAATAAACCTTTTAATGGGAAAAGAAACAATATTCACAGGATAGCTTAGCAGTCCACTGTGCAATGAATAATGAGTTAAATACTCCTGCACTGATTCCATTTCAGGTCTAGCAAAACCTCTTACCCGGAGCCCGTGGAACCGAGGATTACTGTAGAAGAGCTTCATCTGCTCAGATGGAAGTGGTCCTAGCACCTTCTGAATAGTAAAGAGTTGGTCAATTTCGCTTTCTCCAGGAAATAAGGGCTGTCCATCACTAAGCTCCCCAAGAATACAGCCCACTGACCACATGTCTACAGACTTCCCATAGGGAGCTCTGAAAAGCAAAGGAAGAGATTATCTTGGCAAGTGAAGAAATACAAGGTCTTAATAATTTGCAAATTATTCTGAAGAGATTCATGTTTTGAAGCATATTTGTGTATTTAAGGATTTAAAAAAGTGAGATTGAGAATAAGAAAACATGGACATCCAAGTAAAAATTCAGAACACAAGTGAATAAACCAACACTAATAAAGATATCAGTTTAATAACAATTTTTATTTAGTACACACAAGTTTGAAAAGTGAGTATAACTTCAACACAAATGTCTTAATAAACCCTAATATTTAGTGCACATGTCTGATTAACAATATTTTACTTGGGGGATAAAATGTTCCTAAGAAATGTATTTTCTAAGTAATTATATTTTAGCTCTGTCAGAAAAGTTACATTTTAATCAATTTTTTGAGCTCAGCCTACTAAAATGTACTACTGACTTACACGTCTCCTTAAATAAATACTGAATTAACCTTTGATTACTTAGCATCACAGTTTCCAATAGCTAAGACAGTGGTAAGTTCTATTATATTAATTACTTTAACATAATTGTACTGTATATACACAGGGCTCTGATAACTATTTCCCTTAAACATTTTTTAGTTTACTAGGGGTTTATAGCTCACGTGTAGGATCTGAGTTTATCTGAGGGCTTTAAAAGGAGAGCTGCTGTTACAAATCGAGGCCATCATAAAAATCTAGGTATCCCCCAAACAATGTTAGATCTACACCCCACTATCTACAGCCTTAAACCAAACTGTTTGTGCTAGATTAAGAAACCATCCAAGCTTTAAGAAGAGAAAGCCACAATAAAATATCTGTAAAAGAATATGGAATGAAATTCTAGAATGGCATAACAATATAATAGTAATATGAAAGTGTCAAACGAAAGCACATTATACATAATGTTTCTAGTATAACAAATCACTGCGACTATATGTCAGTATTTTATTTCTCTCTCATTGTAACAATACATCATTTCATTTATCTCATTTCCTTCCCATAAAAACCTAAGAACGATGAGGTAACTTCATTTAGATATTTTTCGAGCTTGCTAGGGAAGGTGGGCTACTGATCTTTCTTTCATAGTTGAGAGAAACAAAACATTTTCCATGGTACTAGGTGGAGAAACCTAGGGAAAATGCCCACATCCCCACAACAAGCTATTTTCCTTCTACCATCTGATTTGAATAATTTATGCAGCTGGAACTATTTTGAATGTCAAGGACAAAGCCCTGAGAATGTATAAAAATGCAAATTCTTAACATAAAACCAAATATCAACTGATTTAAATGGAATTTTTATACAAATAATATGGCTGTTCAACTACTACTTGACAATCACTCAATTAGTAATATTCAATTTAGCTCAAATTTGTTTTTTGCACCCATTATTTCTGGCAGCTACCACACATTTCTAAACATAACTTCAGTCTTCCAATAGGTATTATTAGGCAGCAAATACTTTCTGAAGATTATTGCACAAAGTGGATGGTTGTGGAGGTGCTGCTGAAAAAATATCAATGCAGTGCTAAACTGAATAGTCACTTATTATCAAAAAGGATTTACACTGTTCAGAGGAAAAATGGCAATTGGTTCCATATTTATCCCAAGTGTCTAGCAAGAGATACCTGATAAATATTTGGTAAGTATTTGAATGAATGAGTGAATGAATAGATAAGCCAGACTGTCAAACTCTGAGAATATTTCACATTCCTAATGTGGAAGATTATTAGCAAGAATTCCTTCCATTTCTGTATGCATGTGGCTTCTGCAGTGAGGCACTATCACTTCCCCCACCAATAGATGGGATTTACTTCTCCATACCTTGAATCAGGGTTTGGCTATAAAATAAACTTTGGCCAGATGCAAAAGCCATACTGTTTCACACTTGGAAACCACCTTTCCTTTGGGGCTTATGTTCTTGCTGAATTTTCCCACTGTCACACTTAAAACATGCGCCAGCCTACTGAAAGTCCCTAGGGATGAAAGATGCTCGGTCCCAGCTGAGGGCCCCCATATCAACCAGCTTTCAGATGACCTTCCAGCAGACTAACTACATGAGGGACTCCAAGATAGACTAGAAGAACTATCAAGTTGAATGCAAATTACTGACTCAGAATCCTGAGCAATTAAGTGGTGCTTGTTTCCCATCATTTCATTTGTAGGTGGTTTGTTATACTGAATATATAACTGACATATTTAATTGATGTTCTTATTTTCTATCAGTGAACAAAAGCCAACGATAAAGAATCAATAGATGTGTAGAGTTTATTCTCAGACAGTAACTCACCCAAGTAAGAGTTCTGGGGATCGATACCACCTGGTGGCCACATACTCTGTATAATTAGCATTATTGCCCTCTGACAGATTCCGTGCAAAACCTGAAAAAATAATTTCATGTTGGCAAAATATTTCAAAAGAACAGAACATCAAAACAACATAATGACTGATACTGAATGGAATGGGCTGTTTACTAATAGTGTGTCCCTGTTATTTTTAAAAGTTCATATGTTAATTAAAATATACAATGTATTTATTACAAACCCAGTTTCTTTCCTATGCTAAAGAAATCCACACTCCATGGTTTTCTAAGCACTCAAAACATATTTTAAAATCGGCTCTCCTAAAAATGAAAACCTCAAGGACGCACTGATGGGCTCAGCTTCACAATCATGGTTCAGATTTCCTTCTGGGCTTCTACATCTGAAATGGCATGAACATCCATGTGGTTCCCCACGGCCTATCTTAGTATATGTGATGCCAGAGTGAGCACTCTCCAGGGCCTGTAGCGGGTTCCAGGCATTTTCATCTCCCACCTGGTATATGGGGCCCTGGCTGAGAGTACAGGGCTGTTGGCAGTCAGTGATAACATCCTTGAGGTCAATGGCACTGAGATGGCTGGGAAGACTTTGGACCAAATGATGAACATGATGGTTGCAACCAGTGCAATAATGTAATACAAGGTGCATCTAAGGCCTCTGACAGGGCGACAATGCCAATGACAGCAGTGACCCAGTCCTTGAGACCCAGACTCCCTGCTTCAATGAGCTGTCTCGGGGGCCTCCATGATTGGACCTGCATCCTGGCTGCCTACTTTCTGGTGCCTGTAGTCCCCATATAGTCAAGAACAGGCCAGCTTTGGCTGGGGAAGTGGCATACAAGTTGATGGTAGTGGCTTCAGCCTCTGACAGGCAAGAAGGATGCAGCCCCTTGCCACTCAAGGCTGCTGGGACATGAAAGGGACTTCCCACTGGAAGGTTTTAGCTTGCTCACAGGGCCTTCTTAGCCTGGGCAACATTAAAGATTTTCTAAAATTAAAAAAATACAGACCTCAGAAATAAACTGAAATCCTCCCTATAGCTGGAAGTCAAACTAGCATCTCATTAGTTTGATGGTCATTAATTCTACTATACATAGTATTTATCTGCTTACTTTTGGTCAGCAGTTCCACCCATTATACTGTAAACAATTAACAGTCAGTAGTGATGGAAACGAAGCAGGATAAAATTACTGTCATCTAATACCTGAGAAGTACATGGGGAATCTTTATTATCTTGTAGATTCACACGTGAATTCTGTCCTCCACTCTTTCAAGACATTTTTAGGGTCACAGTATAGCCACAAGTGAGGCAACAGGATAAATTAATTACCCATCTAACCTACCAAGTGCAATATAGGTTCATTATAATAGTTACAGAAAACTGAAACATTAAAGTTAAGAGCTAAAAACTGACATTTGTGTCAGTTCTGAAAAGTGGCAGAGTTTCCTAAAATAAAACAGCAAGAAACAAAAACAGCCAGAGCAAAAACCCAAACCCTTAACTTCAGTTAATTAATATATGTTTGTGAGACATGCTCTGAAGAAATATTTATATTTCTGAATGGGATTCTTTGAACCAGACAAAGAATCTGTATGCACTGAAAAGGAAAGCAATTAGGTAGCCTTTCTTAGGGATGCACACACAGGACACAGAAAAGCACATGTGGTACTGCCCAGAGGAACTCCCTGCTCATTTTAATCAGTCTTTTTCTAAATAAATAATGCTAGACTAGGAGGTTTCTTTGTCTCTTATTAACCATTCTATAAGCATTTCTTTTGTATTTATAACCTGCTTTATAAATTTCAGTAACCTTGGAATTTAAGCAGATCTATGGCCCATAGTAAATGGTGTATAAGGTGCGCAAAGTCTCTGTGTTGGGTGGGATTTATACTTAAGAATAGGAAGTCAACACTGTTCCTGAAAATCATAATGCTAAGGTAATGCTAGAAATGCCAAGATAAAATCTTTCACATACAGTATTCAATATTTCACTTTTCTTTTCCTAATTCTTTAAAAATAGGCTAGAGATAGACTTCCTTACATTGGTTTTTTGTTTTTTGTTTTGTTTTTTTTTTTTATACCGGGGATTGAACTCGGGTCCTTGTGCTTGCAAGGCAGGCCACCGAACCGCTGAGCTAAATCCCCAGCTCCTTATAATGTTTTTTATCAAAAATTATGAAGAAAATTTAAAAAAATTTAGGCCAAGCAGGTTCATAATATTTAAATTCTTAGAAAATATTTAGTGAAAACAGTTACTTCTAATCCCTACACTGGGCAAAATTGGTCATTCTACAAAGCAAATTCTTACGATGCTCTATTCCTCACTTGTGCTATCCATCTGGGTACTAATCGAATCTAACTCTGTGTATGATAAGAAGATGAATTCTTAGTTATATGTGAAGGTTTACATTGTACTTGTAATACATGAAATAAACAAATTTTAAAAATCAAATTGCTATATTTTAGCATATAGATTAGGTAAAACTATAATTTCAAAAAATGACCCATGCACTTAACATCCTCAGTTATGATTTTAAAACTTTTCCACAGTATTTTAACTGTTTAACACTACTTAATACAAAGTTATCTATATAGGAGATAATACATATATTTTTTTGTTTACTAGGAGACAGTATAATTTAAAAAACAACTATACATTCAATCCAGAGCTGGAATATCACATATCAGTTACCAATCTCATTCACTGAATATTTAACAGTTCATAAATGGAAGTATTTTAAAAATGATTTTGACCTTATACATATATAATCATCATACAGACCCAGTACAAATGTTTACATATTCAGGTATATCTTTAGTAGTTATGACGAAACTCAAAACAATTTTTAAAATATTTCATCCTACTCCAAAGAGGAGTCATTAGATACTGGGCATATACATGTATTTACTTTACTTTTCATTAAACAAATACTGAATGATGGATTTTTAAAAACTGTACATAGTACTCTACAGAGCAGAGAAAGCAGTATTCTTCCAGCAATCAATTTTTCACCATGTGTCAAAAGAACTTTCCTCTGCTAATTTAACTCAACATAAAAATTACATTTAAAATGCCTTTTAAAATCCACCTATGTGTTACCTTAAATTAACTCTGTAAGTAGCAGGACACAATTTCTCTTAACTTACCAAAGTCGCACAGTTTCAGAACATCATTGTGGCTGATTAAGAGATTTTCTGGTTTTATATCTAGAGTATGAAGATTAAAAAACAATTAATATAAATGTTTTATTGACAATGCTACATCACTATAATGGCATGTAATATGTAGGCCACAGTTTAAAAAATCCCTGTAAGTCTTTAAAATTTATTTTTAGGTTTTACTGTACGAGGGATAAAATGCAAAGCCTGGAGCATGCTGGGCAAGAGCTCTATCATTTAGCCACATTCTCCAGCCCGTATTTAACTCTTAAAGACATTATCAGTTGGATTTCTGATAAGAATTTAAGAATGACCAAATCTAGGCCAGCATATTTTGAAAAACTATTTTTACTTTATAAAATATTAAATTTTTGCAGATAGAATATATTTACAGCCACAAGATATCTTTAAAAAAAAACACTGAGAGTTAAGTAGCTAGCATATTTACTGGAAGAAAAAAATCCAAGAAAGGTTTTCTGTATAACTGCTATATTTAAACATGTCTCTTTAGCGTGTCTGTGTGGTCTATAATTACCAATGCATAACTCTGAAGCTATACTATGAGTCAAGTTAGGATTTCTAATTTTTTCCCATGGATCTTTTGAAGATGTGATAGTTGAAGGGTAGAAACTTGAAGAAAATACAATTGAATTTGCCTTTTGAAAGGCATCTTGCAATTCTATTTTTATTTGTTTGTTTATTTTTTGACCGGGGATTGAACTCGGGCCCTTGCACTTGGGAGGCAGGCAGCAGAACCACTGAGCCAAACCCCCAGCCCATTGCAATTCTATTTTTAGATAACAGTAATCATCATCTATACCATATGGTGAAGCTGGAAGTGGACAAAGGGCAGGGGTAGTGAAATTTGTAGATTTCAGAATCATGGTTTCTACCACTAATTCACAGCAACAGATTCACTACAAATTTAAGTCAGTTTCATGATAGAGATGCAGCTTACTCAGCTTTCCATTAATATCCTCAAAGATAATATGGCCTATTATTGAAATCATTACCCTAGACACTAGATATCCAGTTGACTTAAAAGATCTATCCATACCACTGACAATATTGTAAAGTAACTGCTATTAGTCAAATGAAAGACAACTACTAACTCTAGAAATAGTAGAAGTTGGTACTCTTTGTAGGACCTTTAAGCTTTTCTTAAAAGTTAGATTACTTTTAAGGTGATATCCTTGTGCATCTTTATAGCTAAATTAAATATAACATTCATTTATCTGATAATTTAAAAAGTAAGGGGCATTGCATCATTTTCTGATAAACAACTTTTAGCTTCATCCTTATACCACTTTGTGTCCCACTACTGAACTCTGCATTGCAAAAGAGATTACTAGGTGAAGATACATAGAATAGAGTCAAAGATGATGCAGAGCAAATAATTTCCTTTTCATTGCTATAAACCAGTGACTTCATGGCAGTTAAAACAACTTAAGACATTTTATAATCACGGCCTATGTGCTAGGTAGATCATGCCCAAAACCTGCAGACAATGAGCACTTTTCACTAATGGATGAATGAGTGGGGAAAATCAGGAGGTGAAAATATATACTGAAGATTGTTGCCCTAAATAGGAATGAAATATGAGTGCCAATGGGGGCCAATGACTTAAGGACCATCTATAAAGCCTGATCCTAAGTTGATTTACATTACTTGGTTCACTTGTAGGACAAAAAGGCTATGGAAATCATCCATTTGCTACCCTACCTCCATCCCAAAGAAACTCCAAAATTTGCAATTATTGAATACTTCTATATGACTAGATGTTTCTCTGGTTCAAAGTGGATCTGGTTATATAAAGAGATCTCACCATGTAATATCCAAATATATTTATGATACATCCTTGTGGTACAAAAGGATTTGGAGGGCAAATAACTTCTCAATCCCATACTTTCTTTTTTTTTTCAAATCATAAAAGATACTTATTTATAGCCGGGAGTGGTGGTGCACGCCTGTCATCCCAGCATTTGGGAGGCTGAGGCAGGAGGATCGCTGTGAGTTCAAGACCAGCCTGGGTTACATAGTGAGTCCCAGGTCAGTCTCAACTACATAGTGAGACCCTGACACAAAAAAAAACCCAAAAAAAGTTATTTACTTACTTATTTATTGAGTTTATTGCTACATTTTAGGTATAGTACAATTACATTCATCATTGGGATCTTGTAGCTTTACATGACAGGTCTTGGTTGTCATTTTTTCCCCTTACCCCTGCCCTCAATCCCATATTTTCAAAAGCTATTTAAATAGAAACATTCTAAAGACAGCAAATATTTTAGTTTTATTTTATGTTTCTTTAGTATTTCCATTTAATAAATTCCATACTCACCTCTGTGGACAATATCGTTCTTATGGCACCAATGAATAGCTTTGATTAGTTGATAGATATAGCTTTTTACTTTGTCAGGTGGTACTCCATTTGGCATTTCTTCCAGCAATTCAAGCATATTCTAAAAGTTAAACAGAAAGCCATTATTCTCCAAAAGTAGATAGGCCCATAAATTATATATAATTTTAAAAGGCACCCTGGATAACAATGCATCCAATACATAGTATGCTATTTTTTTGTTTGTTTTGCATTTCACCTACAACTTAGGTCATGGTGAACTAGGATACTGTATTAAATCAGTTTTCTTTTGTGAGAAATTCCATTTTCACTGCTCCTCTATGCTGCCCCAAATAATCGTGTGTAATTTTACTACACCTAAAGACACCTAAGCATCTTTTTTAGAATAATTTAAAGAGAAAAACATTACAAAGTAAAGATATGACACTGTAATCTATAAAGTATCATTTTCACAGTGTACTGTGTATCTTTCACAGACTTTAGTCAACTCAATTTCTGTGAGTGACTTGGATAAATATTCTTTTTTTCTAGTCACAGTCTTGGTAAGTTGCCTAGGCTAGTCTTGAACTCTTGGGCTCAAGTGATCCTCCTGTCTCAGTCCCTAAACTAGCAGGGATTACAAGTGTGTCATTGCACCTGGCTAATATTCTTAAAAAGAGGGAGCAGGGATTTAATTCAGTGGTTCTGCTCCTGCCTCGCAAGTGCAAGGACCCGAGTTTGATCCCCAGTACAAAAAAAAAAACTTAAAAAGAAAAAGACCCCTAAGATTAGAAAAAATACATTTAGTACAAAAACTAAAACAGGCTAGAAAGTACTGCTGAAACGAAAATCTACATACTCTGAACAATTTAATATTCAAAACTTTTACTTAGGAGCCATAAATCATTTTAAAATTCAGGCAAAAATTTTTTCAATGTGCAATTTGTTTATTTATTTACTTACTTATTTTGGGGGGGTTACCAGGGACCTCGGGACCTTACGCAGCACCACTGAGCTAAATCCCTGGCAAACTTGCAACTTTTGATAGCAATTTCCACTGAATTTCAAAATTAACCAAACATTCTCCGTTTTCTCTGCAAAGCACACTGAGTAGGGTCCATAGCACAATCATAGCTTATCACCTGTAGACAACCCCCTAGGACAGCAGTTGTCAAAGTGTGGCCTGAGGTCCTACAGGCCCATGAAGCCAAACTGTATTGATCATAGCACTCAGATTTTGCCTTTTTCACTGTGTTATCATTTACACTGGTGAGACAAAGCAACAATGAGTAAACTATTGGCACCTTATGAAGAACTGGACCCTCACTGTTATAAGTACAAAACAAGAGTTTTAGTGAAGGATGTCCTTGATGAAACAATGAAAATAGTACTTTTACTAAATTTCCAATCGGAAAACACATCTTGTCAAGAATTCACACAACAAAATATAGATAACACATACAGCACACCCACTGCACATGTGCCATCTGAACTATGACTCTCTTGAGGCACAGCACTTGAGTGACTGTAATACAAGCTGAACTATCTCATTTTTGTGCAACACTTTTTTATTTGAAAGAATGGTTGACACATAAACTTATTTATGGTAACAGTAATGGGTTTATCATTGTTATTTTTAAATGAATTTTTTTTCAGTGCCAGGGATTGAACCCGATGCCTTGCATGTGACAGCAGTCTATAAATGGAGTCACTTCTACCAGCCTAAAAACTGGTGTTGCCTCATGTGTGTAAATACCGAATCGTTTCTCTAGTGTGAAGAACTGAAAGTGTAAATAAGGACTAAAAGGTGTAACAGATAATTTGAAATAGGAAGAAACGATGGAAAGTGGAAGGGAAAATGGGAGGGGTAGGGGAAAAGAAAAATGGGAAGGAATTAACATGAGAAAAATAAAAAATGGAAAAAAGTCTTTGTAGATAGGAAGGGGTGGAGGGATTGATGGGAGGGCAGGGGAAAGGGGAAAAAATAAGAACCAAGATGGATTATGTAAAGGTGCAAATTTCCAATGATGAATGTCACTACATTGTATACCTTAAATGTACCAATAAAATTAATTTTAAAAAGAACTGGTGTTGCCTCATAATTTTGTTCTTACCAAACCATGTACTCATGAAGAATCACTTGTATTTATTCACATACCTATTTATAACAGATGTACTTGTTTTTTTAAAAAATAATCACATCAAGCAATGAAAAAATGTTTTTAGTTTTAAAAGAGGGCTGCCATTTATAAGAAAACAAAGTTGAGTACTTTGAAAGACTTAATAACGGAAAGCCACAAAACATATTATTGTCTAATCAAAGGTAAGTCAAACATCTATAAAACACTGGCAAGGGACAGAGGCTAGTGATTATGATAAATATTGAAAGAGTCTGTGAGATTGTTTTGCAAGTGTTTCTCAGCATTTGCTTCTCCTGTAGAGCTACATTATGGGTATGATGTATGTACAAAATATCAATCAGAACTTCAATCAGAAGAGCAACAAGCAAAAGACCTTGACCTATTGCTAAAGCTCAGTACATATATATTTAAGTTAAATTAAATTGTTTAATATTTAGATCTTTAATCCATTTGGATTTTAATTTAGTGCATGGCGAAAGATAAGGGTCTAATTTTAATCTGTGGCAGGTTGATATCCAGTTTTTCCAACACCATTTATTAAAGAGGCTATCTTTCCTCCACTGAGGATGGTGAGCTCCTTTGTTGAAGATGAGGTAGCTGAGTACATCTGCATTTGTTTTTGTGTCTTCCAGTCTGTTCCATTGATCCTCAGGCCTATTTCTTTGCCAGTACCATGCTGTTTTTATCACAGTGGCTTTGTAGTATAGTTTCAAATTGGGAATTGTTACACCTGGTGCCATGTGACTGTTGCCTATAATGGCTTTTGCTATTCTAGGTCTCCTATGGTTCCAAACGAATTTTTGAATTCTTTTTCCTA